TAACGACCTCTAAGTGGGAGGCCAGTCCTTCTTATTTTATTTTAGGTGTCTTCTTGTGCCAGCAACTGGACAACAGATGGATTCTCCTGTTTGGATTTCACCCCCCTAGTCTTGGCCTGCTGACTTCTGCACTTTTCAACCTCACTCCATCAGGAGTCTGGCAGACGGAGGAAAAGGCTGGACCCTAGACCGGAAGCTGGCTGATAGGACACTCCCCTCCTTCCTGTTCTTTTTATATGTTCTGGCTTGGGGAGAGACAGAAGGATCAGCCGAGGGCCAGGAGAGGGACATATTAGTTTTAGGAGCACTCTTTTGTTGAATATCCTGTATCTGATTGTAAAGATAATTAAATGCAGATGTTAAACGTGAAGATCTCTTGTCTCGCTCTTGCATCGACTTTGGACACGTCAGTCAAAGGGAATTATTGACTACATTTTGGTGAAACCCGACGTGATCGGTGCAGGAGCGGGACAGAGATGAGCTCAGATATAGACTGGGTCCGTGGGCCGGGAGAATTCTCTCTTCTCTTCTCTCTTCTCTTCGAAAGAGGTAAGCGGATCGTTACTTTTGAAAATCTGCACATTGTTTTAAATGGAAGAGAGAGAGAGAATTCGGCTCGGCGGACTGCAGCGTGGCCAGACGACCGCCGTGACGGGCGTTCTATCGGACGCGATAGAACAATAGTCAGGTTTTTCGACGTTTTTGAACCTTGAGGGAATGCGAAAAATAGGCCGCCAACCGCCGGAAAACCATACAAGAAGAAGAAGGACACGACACATTTGGGTGCGTCAGATATGAAAGAAGAAGAAAGACATTATGAGGAAAAGTTATCGGAAGAAGAAAGAAAGTGATTGTTGAAAGAAGAAGAAAGACATTGTGAGAAAGAGTTATCGGAAGAAGAAAGAAAGTGATTGTTGAAAGAAGAAGAAAGACATTGTGAGAAAGAGTTATCGGAAGAAGAAAGAAAGTGATTGTTGAAAGAAGAAGAAAAAAGACATTGAGACAAAAGACATTGAAAGACGCCATGAGTAAAAGAAAGACATTAACGGACATTTGAGACGTGGCTGGCCTAAATGAGACAGACAGAAGGTAATATACAGACAGGCAACAAACGCACAGAGACATATTAAGTCATATTTACACATTTAGCTAGGTCATTCGTTCATAACACCACATTTAGCTGCATGAAAGAATACAGGACAATCGTTAAAATTAATTAGACTCTTGCTTTAGCATGAGACACAAGGAGATTAGAACAGCAGTATATTTAAGGTAGAGGAGCTCTATTATTGAAACTATTATTGTTATTTAAAGTTATAGACGCGGAGAAGTTTAGAATTATTGATTTGGACTGCATGATCTTGGTAATACGGATATTTAAGGCAATTTTTCAACCTCTGAACCGTGGCTCGTTTCTCATTTAAGAACAATCACATGCACAGTTGAAACTGCTGCTAGAAAGAGAACTGCAGCTTTTAATGGACGCTGCATTTAGTACAAAATGGTTTGTTCAGACAATTAAAGTTTGAAGAATGATTTAAAGCATTTCTGAATTTTGGCTAAAGGTGATATTGGATCATTTCTGATAACACATTGACGCAACGCTGTTCATTGGTTGAAAACAAGGATGTAGGGACATTTTATGAAATCTTTTATGACATGTTTCTCTTCCAAATAGCTAAATTAGAAACAATTAGGACAATTATGTCTTTGATACAACTGTTGGCCGTTCACCTGAGACATGATTGGTGCAAGTACGACAACACACATAGAACAATGGTCTTTTCTCCACATGAACGTAAAACAAAGGTGAAGTATTAAAGTTTGAGACTAATTTACATTTTTAATGAATCCGACCTGGCTTTACTGAAAAACAAAAAAGAAGGAAAAAACATTTTAAAGTAACAAGAGCTCATTAAAGATATAGGGGACACAATCTGTGATAAGCCCGAGTACAGACCACGTGGTAAGCACTAAAAGTTTGAAATGGATCCTTTTAGGAAAAATCTCTCAAAGCTCTGCATGTTCTGCAGGCTCTGAAAGTTGCAACAATAGAAATAGCTCATGAGACAATTGTAATTGGACATGGAAAAATATAACAAAGTTAAAATTACAGGCCTTCTGTGTTATATGTTTGTGTGTGTTATATGTTTGTGTATGTTATATGTTTGTGCGTCATGTCAAGTACACTACGTTGACCTTAACAAACTCTGGACCAATATACTAACGTGGGGAATCGGCCTGTGTGAGTGATGTGAGTGTGGAGTGAAATGAGGAGTGAAATGAGGAGTGCTGAACGGATCATGGAATAACAAAAGTTTTCTGTAATGTTTTAATGTGATCATGGAATAATTATTTTTTGTCAACAGCATACGGTGTAAGTACTAGAGATTCAAAGATAACAAGCTTTATTGAGCAGGTGTAAAAGTGAGAGTACTCTGGGATGAGTACTCTGAGAAAAGTACTCTGCGGAAAGTACTCTGAGATGAAATACCTTGCTGAAGGTACTGGGAGCCCCCCCTCTGCTGTTTGTCCTGACAGTGATTCGGTCCAACCGCAGTGAGCGGTCATTGGGCGGAGGACAACTTTGGTTTGTAACTCACATTTAGGGGAGTATAAAATTAGAAACATACATATTGTTAAGTCTGTATTTGGCTACAGCCTCTGCCCTGATGTCACACACCGTCTGTCAATGCAGTTATGTTTTGCCCAATTGGATTGATTGACAGGCCGCACCATGCGAAGAGAGGGAAGTGGGCGTTTCTTGTGTTCTGTTTCTTGTGTGTTTCTTTTTCAGATGAAAGATAAACTGCACCTGCTTCAGGGATGACAGTAGTATGGATCATAAAGGAAATGAGCCTCTACTTTGGCACCAAAGCCCACAATATGAATTGAGGACGATCCGGGAGAAAGCAACTGGAGATTATTGGAACAGTAAATCTACACACACACACAGATGCATGTTTTATACTTTGGCCCACGACCAATAGGGGGAGTATGGTAATGTTATTGTCATAGGTGGTCATGGTCCTTAACCTTCTAAATCATTAGAAAGAAGTGTAAAACATATATTTACAAGACCAAATAAATAATGGAAAGGGCAGCCTAAAAAGCAAAATGGGAAAAATTATTAAGTAATTTTCGGAGTTGCCAAAATAAAATAAAATTCTTTATTTGTCCCATAGGGGGTCATTCTAAATTTAGTGTTGTGCAAATTCAAAAGGAGAAATAATAGCGCTTATAACATCAAGCAGATCTACTCTTTAAGATAATAGATCATATAATAATAATAATAGAATAGAATGAAATAGTCTGGAGCTATAATGTCATTGGATTCAAGGAGCTATAGGTTGAAGGGTCGCTAAGAAGAGGTGTCAGAATAAACAATAGTAATAATAGTTAGAGTAGTGAATAATCATCCATCCATCCATCCATTTTCTACCCTTTAATCCATTTCTGGGTCAGGGTCCACAGGAGTGAATAATCAAAATAGTTCTATTGTGGAAATAAGTATCAATAAGGTCAAATTGTTCTAATAACTAAAGTAAAAAGGAATCAAATGGAGTCAGATTTTAGATGTTTCTGTTTTCCACATCTGTAGGAACTAGTGCAGAGGTGTTTATAGAGAGTAGTATTAAAATGCAGACATAGAACGACAGGCTTCAACAAAATTTTAAATCTAAAAATAGCTCAAATATAACATTGCTCTTGATGCAGCCTCTGAGCTGCTCCATTGGAGAACAGGTTAAATGTTATGGTTTATTACAAACAGCTGATGTATTTACACATATTAAAGTTGGGACAACTCTTTAAACAGTTATAAGCAGCGGACAGAAGCCATGAATGTGCTTTTGTTTATTAAATAGTTAATTTCATAGCCATATAATCGTAGAGAACGTTTTAAAATAGTTCTCTTCCCCCCGCTCCCTTTCAGGCAAATTGAATAGATTCATGTTTTTAATATTGGAGAACTACGGTGTTGTTTTTGGAATGGTCTGAAATACAATACAAAAAATAGTGATTTGCAGAACAAGAACCAGCCAATGAAAAATCGTCCATTGCCAATGCAATTGTTACAATTAGAACCACAACTATGACCAAATGCAATAAATGTTAAGGGTTCAGTCTGGCAGACAGAAAGGTTGACTTTTAGTCTGGGGAGACTGAGCAAATGTTAAAATGGTTTAAAATGATAAAGTAGGAGTATTTCAGCGTTTTAGTAAATGTTAAATAGTATATAGTATTTGATCATTGGTCATAAACAAACTTCGGAGTAAGAGTTAAAATGGTACCATACATTGTGATCCTTCTGATAGAGAAGCTAGATAGAGTTAGAATCAGAATTATTTACAGCCATTGAAAGTGATAGAACTCACAAATTGGGAATATGCTTTGGCTCAAGCTACAGCCGAGCTTTGGAAAAAATTGCGTAAAACTAGAAATAGATAAATGCATCAACCATAGATGCTTTCAAAAATAGAGATTATTTTTAGCCAGTGCTAATAGCAAACGGTAAAAGGACCATTTCCTTCATATTATGTCCAAAAGTATTTACTTCAAAGGTAGATGAAGTTCATTACAGTTTATGCACAGGTTTATTAGATACTGTCAAATTCGCTTGTTTCAAACATCTGTGAATGTTGACAATGCCAAAAGTTAATGAGATAGATTAATGAGATAGATTAGAAACAACAGAGATTCAAAAACATTTAAAAGCATTTTAATGTATTTGGGTATAGCACAAAAGTAGATATTTAGGTATTTTTTGAGAATTTTAAGAGCTGTCGATTTGTCAGCAACAGATTAGAGAATCAAAATACCGTTGTAAAGGGACTGACCCCAGAGAAACCTGCTAAAATGGATTAGCTCTTGTAAGGATAATAGCAATTTGATTAACGATGTACATTTATCCCAAACGGTCTGA